TTGGGTGCTTAAATTAAAAAGTTCATAGTGAAGACGTCTAAAGTATCATTGATTTAATAATTATTTCCTACGATGCTACTAACATTGACATAACGTGCCACAAGTATCAATCCTGGACCCTACACTTTTCTTTAAAAACGTAGTGTTGTTATATGTATTTATTTGTTATCAAATTTACAAATGATTGCCTACGTATCTAATATGCCTAGCGTTACTTTTCGACTATTTTCCTATTGAAAAGCACCTCAAAACAAAAAACAATGAGCGACAGTAAATGCCCTAATAACAAAATGTGAAAAGCTCCCTGAATTTTACTCAAATCAATCAGTTGATTTATTTCTGTTTCCGTGTGTTGGTAGAAATTTTTCATGAAATTAAATTTCGAACTTGTAGCAAATTTTTTATACCAATGTTGTATAAATCCCAGTTCATTAAAATCAAAAACAGCTTTATCAATAACACCCACAAAAGGAGAATTAATTCTAAATGGGAATGAAGAATAAAAGCAACCCATATTTTCCGGTAGTAATTTCATGTGACTTCTTCCATAATTGTCTAATTTATCGGCAAACATTACAAAATCCACATTTGTTCCGTCAAGTACCGTTACTAGAAGGGCACGTCTATATTCATTTAATTCTCGTAAAGCCTCTGGAGTATCTTCAGCCATCACGAACAATTTGGATATTTTATTAATCACGGCGCTTTGAGTATTCTCTAGATAGCTTTTCAAGAATGAAAAATTTTGCGTAGCCTGCCATTTAACATCGTGATCAATTATATCCTGCAATGAATCAAATGAGAACGAATAGCGAGGAAATCTGAGCGAAATTGTTAACCCAGCTGAATAAGACACTGAAACTAACAGTGAAAAAACTAACACCAAGAGTAGAAACAATCTTGTTGATAATATCTGAGAATCATGTATTATAGTAGTCGATCCTTGAGAACCAGCCCTTAGCATAGTAAATATTATGAAGAAGGTATCTTTTTGTAAAAAAATTCCTGCGTTTTTAATTACATCATCGACGGTTGTTGTGCTTACTTTAAGCAAAAATGCAAACAACATCAAGATTAAGAAATAAACAATCCATAAGGAAATATATAACGGTTGAAATACAAAAGTTACGTCTGAGAGTAATACGGGTTTTGGGACTAGAAACGTCAAGCAAAGCAACGAATACGGATAAGATCTTTCCATATTTGGATTCTCTCTTTGCCGAAAATGACTGCATAGGGAAAAGTCGGCTTCATTATTAGCAACAGAGTTGAAAGCTTTAAGGTATACATTTATCCGTCCGTCGTCTTCTTTCTTGATTATAGTATAATTAAGTCGCCAGTTTCTCATCATAACGTTTACCATTTCCATTTCGATTCCTTCATATTCGGTGTTAGCATAAGGTGGACAATTAAAAAAAACTACAGAAAAATTTAACTCCAACTGGGACAGAACCTCTTCTGGTTTCCATTCTATTGGTGCAAAATATTGCATCTGAAGATTGTGTCGATCGTGGACAACTGCTTGATATTTGACAGACATGATTTTTACCAAATGGTCATCATTCAGTAACAGTTTCCCATAATTCGTACTTTCCATTTCCACAACTATCAAATCCAAGTTGTGTAAAGTAAGTCCAGACTGTACTGCAGAGACATTTAAAAATCTTGTATTGTTGGTGAAGTAAAGCACACGCTTATGGGGTTGAAAATGTAAATTAATTGTTCCTATCAAAAATAAGTCCGTGATGTTGTCTTGGTTTGATTCTAAAATGTACCCATCACATGAAAAATGCAGTCGTCTTATTAATTCTGTTATCTTGGAAAGGTCTAAAGATACAATCTGAATGCTGGTGTTGGTGAAAATTTGAGCTAAATGGATAATACTATTTTCGGAATTACGAACGTAGTAGAGACAAAAAAAATTGTTGAAACTGGCTTGTATTACTTGGAAGATAAGATCAGTTTCATTTCGTTCAACACTTACGCCACTTTGAAGGAGCATAAAAATAACAATTTTACTGTACAGAAGATACATAATACTAGATAATTTTTGCCTGAAATGCAACATATATTTTTCTATAAACATGTCGAAAACAAGCAACTTTTATATATTTATTGTTTTGTATATATGAATAAATATTTCATACAAAATGCAAGCGACATTAAAATAATTACAGACAACAAAAAAAAATTTCCAGAACGTGAAGTAGGTAATAATTACAAGTGATATTTTTGTGTCGACTAATGTAAGGTAAAAATATTGTAACTAGGTAATTTTGACAAATGTTTGTTTCGTGTTTTTTCGACGTTTCACAGCTGGTAGAAATGAAAATATTAGTATTTCGTTCGATGTGAATAATAATTAATCTTCTTTCTTTGTTGTTTAAGATAAAAACGGCTTCTGTAATTTTTTTGAAATTCTGGAAGTACAGTATTACTACAACATTACTGTCGTTTTTATTTTCAAATATATTTTATAAAAATTTGTTAATTTAATATAATGGGGGTTTTCGTAAATAAACGTACACAACAATAAAATTACAATAAAAAAAATTTATCAGCTTATTTAACTACCTTATTTTATTTATTTCCGCCAAACCAAGACAGTAAATGAAAATATTCACAAAGAAAGACTAAAAATGCACCTAAATTTCCAGCTAGCAGTAAGTAGACGGCTCCAACAAACCTCCTCATATCAATATAATGTTGGTGTAGTTGGTCATCAGAGAAAAGCGAGTATAAAGAACTAAAATGATTTTGAGCATTATCAAAGTAAGTTATATTTTTCAGCCAAAACTGAACTAAACCTTGTTCCTGAAACCACGCGTTGTACTTGTCTATGATTTTTTTGTATGGAGAACGTTTTCTTATAGGAAAAACAATATAAAAGTCGCCAAAGCATTCTTTTAAAACTGTCAGATGTGTTTGATCGTATAAATCTAAATCTTCAGTATCCGTTAAATACATGCTTGAGAGTTGTTTAGTAATGATAGCCACATTTTGTCCTTTGCTAGGTACGGTAAGGTCTGCCAGTTGATTAAACAATGTGTTATGAGACTTCTTAAAAGACTCTTTCAAATACGGTTCCTCCCACCATACAACCTTATGGTTTACCATATCTTGAATGGTTCTAACGGCATATGTAAACCTTGGATGAGTTAATGAACTGGTAACACCAGCTGAGTAGTAAGTTGTGAAAAGTACGCATGCTAAATACCATATAGAGAAAAGTAATCTAAGACTAAAACGTGAAGAATGTGGTATAAATTCCACACCTCCGTTTGTCCATAATCGTATCAAATACAGGAGAGTAGTCGTTTTATCGCTATCTAGAATACTTGAAACATTATCCTCTTGAAAGTTTTCGTACATTTCGGAAACTAAACCTATAAAAATCGTCATTAAAACAATTATGAATGTTGTTAACAACCACAACATTAACGTAAAAGGTTGCCAAATAAAAGTGAAATGTGGAAGTAGTCTCGCTTTAGGTACTAAGAAAGTGGCGCATATTTGGCGAAGAGGATAAGTAGTATCTAAGCGACTAAGATTCTGGGATATCTGCCACTGAGAACATGTGGCAATATCAGCTGATTTATTGATGACAGCATCTACAGCTAGACCCCACTTTTGATATTTATCTTCTGACTCAATTAGTAGATACTGATGTTTCCAGCGGTGTATTATTTCGTTGATAAGTTGATATTCTATACCACCGACGATATGATTTTTTTCATTTACGTAAAAAAAAGGAGTACAGTTAAACGTTGCTACAATAAACGGACTGGAATGCTTTGGTTCATTTTTTGGAAACCATTCTGGTTGTTCTAGTTCTGTGGTATCAATTACTGTATCTGTAAAGCTATGATTCCAAGTTGCCAATATTTTATCTTTGAATTGTGATTTAACAGAAATTGTCTTAATGCCTGTGGACAAAAGTACTCCTTCTTCATTCATTGGTTTATATTTTACAAGGATTATATCAATCCCGTATACGTTAACTATTTCTGAAAAAGATTCGTTGACGACATCATCACAGTCACAGAATATTAATATTCGTTCGTGGGGCAAAATTATCCCTTCATTTTTGACATCTTCTAAGATGATATTTCCTACCTTACTGACATCTTTTGTTACTATTATGTACGCTGTGCAGTGATGTATGTTTATTTCTGAAGATAACATAGCCAAATCTTCAATTTTGATAACTGGGACAAACATCAATGATAGTGCTTTAGATATTATACCATCAATATTTCCATTCTGAGAAATAAAGTATATACACTTTTGTTTTAAAAATATTTGGTTTAACAACTTTACTATAAAAAACGTTGCATCTCTTTTACTAAACGAGGATGCCATTAGAAATAACATGAAGACCATTATCATATACATAATATATCAAAAATTCTCATAGCTGAGTTTTTATCAGCATGTATATACATTTATTGTTTAATCACAGAAATGAAATAAGTGTTACGTAAACGTTACATTTATTTATTTGTAGATGATAGCTATATGATTACTTTCTTAGAATGTATAAAGTTCGAGGCTTGTTTGTATGTGAATTTATTATAAATAATTAATGTGACTGTTCTAACTGTTTGCAGATACCAGTGTATTACCACAATTTGTACACTAATTTTATACTCATTAAATATTTAAGAAAGAAAACTGTATTTAAATTACGAATAAACACATGCCAACGTATAATGACAACCTTTCCTATTTTGTATTTTTAACGCAAAAACACAAATGGAATAACAATAATACAGCAAGTAGTTATGATATAAAATTCACCCTCTTGTTCTACGCCAAATAATTTTTAAACGAGTGACATTTTTTGAACAAAAAATTTACTTACTCGATTTTGACGCGTTTAATTTTCGTTGAAGAACTTAATGTACTTATACATGTTTTATTTTCTCTTTTGCTATTTACTTGCAGTAAGGTTAACGCAAAATACACGTATATTAAATGCACATCCATATTCTACTTACGACCAAGGAAGACATCACCAAACTGGGTTTTATGCTTAACATTCTTTCCTAGAAGATATTTTGGCTTCGGTTTGCAATGAGAAGTAAAGCATAAAGCTTCTGGATGTCGAAATTCCCACATAGCCTGCCATATTTTCAAGCCGTTCTCTAAGCGAAAATTTTGAAAATCGGATTCCTTTAAATGGTGACACATTGGAGCAAACAGATAGACAAAGAGCTGTAAATAAGGTGATGTGTACAGTTACTGGTTTAAAAACTGTACTCACTGTCATCGTTGGTATGGAGAATAGGTAGAAAAAAGGGGAAGAATGGAAAAGACCTTTTTCAAAATCATTGTCGGCGCACTCTTCTGCCGCATCTAAAAGTATCCAGTGTAAAGTGTACATTAGTTTAGTTTCAACAGCCCCTAAGCTTTGAATATTTCCGTCTTTCATTCTGTAGATAAAATAAAATTGTATAAAAAAAATTAAAAGTTTTTATTTGCACCTATTAAAGAGTAAAGAAGCTGTAGAATGCATAACGTGAGGAAGAGATGCTTGTATTAGCCTCCACCTAGGAATACAACGAATTGCTTCTGATAAATCAGTCTTTAACCCAGACTGTATGTTCTGAACCAAAACTCTTTCAAACATTTTACACGCTTCTTTGAGTTCCTGAAATACAAATTTTGACACAAAATCTGTACAGATTTCTCAAAGTTTTTCGTGACTTACATGGTGGCCGGTCATCGAATGTTGACAAAACTATAAAACAAAAATAAAAAACACAAAAATGCTATTTATTTTGAATTACCATGCATGATGCTTCGTGTAGTTTTCCTAGTTTCGGTTTAACAAAAGGACTACAATAAAAAAAAAATATTTTAACAAGTTTGTTTTAATTAGAGCTGACCTTATCTGCCTCCAGAGAAAGACTTGAATAGGAACAGGAAGAGCTTCCTCATTGAAGCAGTTATCTTCTGATGATCTTCGTTCGGAGTCTGGCATTTTGTATGTTAACACAAAACAGATCACAAAACTCAAAGATCAACTTAAAAAAAACTGCGAGATTTAGTAGTGTTTTGTCTACATCTTAATCCAAACTGAAAGGATCCGGGGATGCTCTCTCGCTGGTGGAAGCGCGCTCACATTCTGATGCGTCTGGGGCAGCAGATATTGATTTGTTTACTAAGAGCTGAGTCGAAGGGTTATAGAATACTCGGATATTTGTTGAATAAAAAATATGACAAGCTATACTGGTTGATGCTTTTACTGCTACACAAGTACAAATCACACATGCATTGGCTGTGAAAGGAAAAATCATAACAAAATCAAACAAAAGAAATGGAAACTTTCAGCAGACAGGTTTAAGCATTTTTTGTAGCTATAGCGGTTGATGCTACTGTTGACCGTGAGTACGTTAAAGATAAACTGGAGATTTCCTGGTTTGTATTCTTAAATTAATGATAGTATGTTCACTGTATGAGTTTAGAATAAAATTTATTTTATTTAAAAAACTCTTTTAAGTCTTTCAGTGACAAGAAGAAAATTTTGTAGACGTAACTGACTAGTAGTTTTCTATGAAGTTTTCATTCTACGAACAAAACCTAGGCGTTAAACGTGTAACATATTTAACATGCATGTCCACAAAAATTACTTTTTGGATGGGTGCCATATGTAAATTTTCCGCAAACAAGTTAATTCTATACACAAAAGTTGTCATTGAGAAGTCGATCAAATCGATACGGGCTATGAAAAAGTTCAAAATAGTGTCATTTTTTACTGTTGGGTTGGGTAAAAAAAATTAACTGCACCCTAAAATTTTGCTGAATAAGATGACAAAAAATGATGTTGTGATCAACAATGTATATGGCATCTTACAAGTTTTCGATAAAAAAAAAACAGAAAAGACAACTTTTTGAGACGCAACTATAGTCTGTTTTGTCGTCAAATCCACTTCTTGGTTACTGTTGAATTTTAAAATAGTAATTGGTATTATTTATGATTTAATAAACATTGTTTTGTTTTGGAAATTATCAGTGACGTAAATGTCATCGTGTTATGTGTTCCATGACTCCTATTTTGGAACGTTTTTTTTTTACTCGGATGCGCCTCTCAAGGCAACGTGCGCTCTGAACGTTATTTTTGTATTTTTGACCATATTTAACATGTGTTTTTATGTATGTTTGTAATGGGAATTCGATTCACGATGTAGTCTAAATGGATTAATTCTGATTTATTGAAATTGACACCTTGTAAACGTTCAGATGTATTGGAATTCCTGACATAAGTGTGGTTTAATGGTAGGTTATGATTTTGTCGCCATTTTGACAATTATTTAGTTTTTCTGTCAAAATTACCTGGGTCGAGTAGCGGGAACGAAGTGCGCGGATCCGAGTTTTAAACTGCCAATTCGCCCACCGGATTCAATCCTCGTTAAGTTGGCATCTTCTGTTTGTCTAACCCTAACGGTTATTGGTGTTTGTAATTCACCAATCAAGTTAGATTTTCTTAATCTAGGAGATTTCATGAAATTCACTTAGTCAGGAAAACACCTTTGTTGTTTAATTACGAGTAGGTTTCTGGATGCATATACGTAAGTGTTACATTATAACACTTCTTAATTCTTCACACAAGATTACTAATAGTTCATTTACGGCAGTTAAATTAACAAAATTCATACCGTGAACTGGCGGGGGGTTAAAATAATTTATTCCCTTAGGCGGTTATCATCGTTATTATCATCGTTATTATGATTACATCACCGGGGCATGCCCTCACAACGCTACAGATTGATTACTTCATCGAGGCATGTCCTCAAAACGTTAGAGATTGATAACATCAACGAGGGTTATTCCTCGCAACGCTAAAATATACATCATCGAGGTATTACCTCGCAACAATAAAATTACATCAACGAGACGCTTTTTCCTCGCAACGATGATTGGATATTTTTGTGTCTGTTTATTATGTGTTTTGTTGGGGTAACCAGTTCGCGGTATGCTAAACTCTCAAAGTAAATTGTTTTTTTGAAGTAACCAATCATTTACATCATGATATAATTTGGCATAATGTAAACTCTTTGTTTGAATCGTTGATAAAGTGTGGCAAATATTAATCTCATGTAAATTTTGTTAACTTTGCAATTTTCCACCTCATACTATTGTATGAGAGAATATTTTTCTCGATCTCACAATCTTAACCTCAAAAGTTTTCTTTGTTGTATAATTTTTAATTGAACGTAAATTTCATGCTGTGCAGTTTTAACCTCACATAATAAATATTTTTATCTTTACAAGTTTATTTCACATCAGATCTTTTGTTTCTATAAATCTTTACTAGTTTTATTTTGTAAATACTTTGTTGAATGTTCCCATCGTATAAATTATTTGATGTCCAATTTTAATCCCACATAAGAATTAATTATTTGTTGTTTAAAATTTCACAAGATTGTATGGCGAATTTAAATGTTGTTCATTGCTCTTTTGAAACTTTAACACTTGTTCAGTTGCTGTTAATATCAGAGTCATAGAGATTGAACATTTAAAATGGAATTGAAGTTAAATAACACAGAACATCTGGCAGAAGCGAAGTGCGGTTCCTAGTCGAGGTGGCGAAATTTATCGCGTCACCTGCACAAAGGATACAGGTTTGGATAAATTCAGGGGAGGCCGCCAATGTTGTAACGCTCTCGGCTTCTGTCCTTAGCCGAGATCCAACTACGGGTCTGCGACCGTAACGGCCTAGTTTCGAACGGCATGTTCGTCCTGGAGATGTGTAATGTGCTGTTTGGGTAGGCTTTGCGATAGATAGAGTCACCGTCGAGGGGGGAGAACAGCCCCGACCGGTAGCCCCAAACTCCGCTTATGTTAGAACGCCCCAGGGATATTTTTGCTGTTCTCCCGTTAACTGCCGTAACTTTAAATTTGACGCCACACGCCCGTAATAACTTGTGTATTTGCGTCCAGTTACTTTAATTCAGATTTTGCTTTGTTTTATTAAATTTATGATATTCAAATATTTGCATTGATTCCAAACAGATGTGTAGGATTTTGTGTTTGTTCGTTTTTCATATGTGTATGTCTGTCAATTGGCGAGTGTCTTTTCTTTCATATTTTTAAGGTGTTTCATTTTAAATGTAATAATATGTCCGTGAATATACGATAGGAAGTTTTGGGGCTGAGGAGTGAATGCGAAAAATTTTGTCTATTATTTCTTGCGCTCTGGAATCACACGCAGTGTATGCTCACTTGTATGAAAGAACGTCTTCCCGCCATTTTTCAAAAAAAAAAAAACAAAAACACATAACGTAGGTTTCCATTTTGTTAGACGATCACAGCCAAGGCCAAACTTTGAATTTTTAAATTTTTCGCGGGCCTTTAAAACTTTTTCAAGGTTAAAATTAAAGGCGGGAAGTTTGGATTATCACAGTACCTAAATTAAAAAATCAATCACTTTCATACTTTGCAGCTGCTAATAATTAAGTTGCACAGAAATTTTATCATAAGAAAAGTGAACACTCATTTCAAATTCTTATTTAAAACGATACGAAATTGCAAAGTGTTTGTTTAATCACACCGAAGGCTAGACAACCCGTTGGGAAGCTGTAGATTGCAGTTTCGATTTTGTCAGATCTCATCAGTATAGCCCATCCTATAGTCCTAGAAATACATACTATCGTCACCGTGGAGCAAACCTGGCGGAAACTTAACAAAAACAAAAATTATCAACATCATTTGACAGACCGCGAAATTTAAAATGGTTTTATGTTGGATTTAAAGTTTGTAGTTTATATACAAAATATGGATTTTTAATTTGAATAAAATATAAAATTTAATCAATAAAATCTTATTTAATAACTATTAGTTGTATTAATTGATAATTAATTGACTTTAAACAAAAAGACAACGCCAAGACCACGTCACAACAACGGTTTACGCGCTGTCAACTCTCTGCTGACATAATTTGCTTCCAAACTAGGGGAATTTTTTGCGTTACCAACTGTATTTGCTCCACTCGTACAACAATGGATGACAGTACTATGTATTTCTAGGGGCTATAGCCCATCCCATCGAGTGGTCTAGCATTCACTGTGTTTCGCTTATGTGCTTAAGCGTAGCAACCAGGTGTTAGTGAGATGTTATTATGGCGACCTATGTGTTCGGCAAGTAGGGGTAAACACATAGGTCGCCACACTAACATCTCACTAACACCTGGTTGCTACGCTAAGCACATAAGCGAAACACAGTGAATGCTAGACAACTCACCCGAACGGAAGGCGACTGCGAACCTTCCTCCAAAACAACGCAGAAGTAGACGTCATCTCCACCAAGGAGCTGACGTTCTAGCACCGAGCCCGACCAGATGCACCAGGTGATGTTTTGGACATTGCCTTCGTCAAGAACGTCCAACACGAAGTGGACGTCACCGTCGTCAACGAGTTCCACTCCGACCACCTCCTGGCAATCGCGACCAGGAGGTGGTCGGAGTGGAGCATAATCATGCGCATCGGGAAGGAACCCAACGATCCCGCGACCAACATAATCACGACCACGGACTGGATGAAATTCGCCGAACATATCAAGGGCAACTTTGGTGAGTTTGTAACGAATATTCAGGATAGCGAGCAAGTCGAAAGCGCAACCCTGGACTACGAGAAACGTCTCCGGGCGGCCATTCAAACGGCCCGCGATACCACAGCGTATCGCAAATATCATCAGGGAAAAGAACAGAGCCAGACGAACTGCACGACGAACCAGAGAACCGGACTGCAGCGAACCGCCTCCAATGGGAAGTCCGGCAAACACTGCTCAATCTTATAGGAACGAGCAGTGCGAACAAAGACTCGAGTCCCTCAACACTGTGGACCTATCGACCTGGAGAATGGCCAAAGCGCTGAGAAGAGACAAGAGGCCACTTCCACCGATCCACAGTGCGAACAACGGCATCGTCTTCAGAGATGAGGACAAAGCCGCCGCCTTCGCTCACAGTCTGGAGAACCAGTGCCAGACGAACATCGACCCTAATGCAGACGACGAGCATCTGGACCTCGTCGAAGAAACCGTCGAAGAAATTCGATGGGCAGAACCCGACGAAGACGCACTCATCCGTGAAACGAATCCCGATAAAATCCGAGAAATCATCCGACTCCTCAAGCCCAAAAAAGCTCCAGACCCAGACGGCATCCCGAACAAAGCGTTGAAGAACCTCTCCGACGAAGCAGGTATCATTAATGCAATGTTCAAATTCCGATTCTTTCCAGATAGGTGGAAAGAAGCCCACGTCATCTTCATCCCGAAACCTGGTAAAAATCACATTTTTCCGGGAAACCACCGCCCCATTAGCCTCCTCCCGTCCGTGGGGAAGATCGCTGAGCGAGTGATTCGGAAACGACTAGCCGAGTTCGTCAACGAACGAGGGGTCATCCCCGATGAACAGTTCGGCTGTCGCCCCCAACACTCCACCTCCGAACAACCCTTCCGAGTAGTAGAATTAGCCGCAAAATCAATTGAATTGAAACAATTGACTGGCGCGGTATTTCTCTACGTTGCCAAAGCCTTTGATACCGTCTGGCATGATGGACTTGTTTACAAGCTTCATCAAGCAGGCGTGCCGCTGGCGATGGTGCAGCTCATTCATTCCTTTTTGGATGCCCGTACGTTTAAAGCACGCATTGGTCACGCCGGAATCCCCTAGGGCTCTGTGCTCTCCCCGCTCCTATACGCGGATTTTACCGCGGTTATACCCAAACCCCCTCGAACTAGCCTTGCCATCTACACAGACGACACGGCTATCCTTGCACGCTCCAAAACACCGCATCTCCTAACCTTCTACTTACAGGGGGCCGTTGAAGCGCTGGAGGAGTGGTGCAAACGTTGGCTCGTTACAGTCAGTCCAGAAAAGAGCACGGCGCTTCTTATCTCGAAAAGACGTATTGGGCTAGCAGGAAATGTCACGATGTTCAACCGGGTCATTCCTTGGCGGAGCCAAGCAAAATACCTAGGTGTCATCATCGACAAACGCCTGACTTTTATCCCGCACATTGACTACGTCGTAGCCAAACTGAACGGGATAAAGGGTTCGTTGTCTGCGCTAATCGGCAGGCGCAGCAATATATGTCAATCAGGAACAAGTTGTTGCTGTATCGCACAATCATTCGCCCCACCATGACCTATGCTTCAGTGGCATGGAGCTACCAACCGTCCAAATCCCAGTTCCATCGTCTGGAAGTCATCCAAACGAAAACCCTTCGACAGACTTTCCAAGCCGCCTGGTTCGTCAGAAACACCCAACTGCTCCGAGAGGCCCATCTCCCGAAACTGAAGGAATTCCCACACGAAATCACTCTCCGATCCTTCAGGAAAGCTGAAGAACACCCCAACCCCCTGGTGCGAGAAGCCGTCGACTATGAGTTCGACGAAGAAGCCCCCCCTCAGTCGCAAGCGACCCCGTGGGGCGCTGCTTGAGGACCAAATCGGCAAATAACACCACCTGCCGTCTCCACCGACCGGCCGTCCCCAGTCACCCCCACACGCCGACCGCATTAATTAATTATACCACTGTGGGTCCATCTTCGGATTCATCCCAATGAAATGAAATTAGAGATGGATTATTAAGTTCAACATGGTGAGTCATCAGAAGCTGACAATAGACGTGTCAGACAATAGCGTAACATGCACACTTTAGAAGGGGGTGGTTTTTATATTTTTTTATTTTTAACGCAAACAATAACACGGAGAAACAAACTTAATTGAACTGGTCAACACGCTAGCACGAATGCGAATGAATCTATTAGCCACTAATCTAAACAGGTACCCTTACGCAGGTAGAAAGGCTTACTATGACAGAGAAACGATGACGTACACCCAGTGCCGAAACCAAAGAATATTTAGGTATAGGCGAACCTTGCGTTAGGCGCCCCTCCCCTACACATAAAAATGCAATTTTACAGAACAGTTTTATTTATATTTTTTAATAAGTATGCAAAACAGATACTATGATAAAATATAAAAAAAAGAAAAAAATTCGAGATTATACATATAGGTATATAACATGTATAAATCTATAAATATTATATAAGTTCAAAATAAAATCAACATTAAAAAACCTGTCGCACCGGTTACATGTTTCTGAGCTTCCGTCCAAAATAAAAAAAGATTAATATGACATAATTCTTGGTATAGTTTTGGAAATTTCATTCTACCCTATAAAATTTTCTTGACGATAACGAGACGGACAGTAGTACAATGGTAAGAAATATTTATGGCTCACACCAGTTCACTCGAACTTGTCTGAGAATATTTGGCAGGTAGTTGTACTCATAAATAATGCTCATTTCCGTTCATAAGTTTCTAACATCTGGGGATTACTTAAGTTGTACATATCTCTTGCTATTGTACTACTGTGCGTCTCGTTATTGCCAATAAAATTTTATAGGGTACAATGAAATTTCCGAAACTATACATCATAATTTTTGGACGAATTTGGCGCCCCTTGTCGTTGGCGCCCCTAGGCAAGGGCCTACTCGGCCTATAGCTAGTTTCGGCACTGCGTACACCTCTGAGGGTGCGCGCATCTCTTAAATTTGAAAGTGGACTTGGCCCAACTTACTTTGTGCTTCTACGCAGATTTACAATTGTGTTGATCTTACAGTGAACGATGTCTAACGAGTTGTTGTAATACTGGTTGCATATGTGATTTTGAGAATAGGAACTTTATTCATTAAAGCAGTGACTATGTATTTAACTCTATACTCACTGATTAAAGTTATAATCATTTTCACTTCTATGTGCATTTATACACCACAATTTGTATAAACAATACTTAGGCCATATAATATACCGGGTGTCCCACGTAACACTTTCAGGCGCAGTAAGGTATACATATATATAATATGTATGTAAAACTAAACCTTTTCGTTTTAGAGTTTTATAGATAAGAGTGTAAACATAGGGGGTAATTTCACGTTGAATTTGAGAAATCGCAAGTGCCGTTGTTATGATAATTGCGATGACAGTTGTTGCGATTCAGTAGTTGGTGTAGAAAACCTGTAATTTGATAGCTGGATACACTCATATTTAATCAAAAGAGGAAAGTAAAGAAAAGAGTAACCCAGTAATATTTCACATACTAGAAAGGAGTTTATGGATGTAATAGGTCCGATGAGGGAATTTAATGTGTAATGCCCTAAAATAATAAGAAAAAGATATCACCTACTAATAACACGAATATATAAATAAATAAAATAAAAAAGATTAGCCATATTAAGAGACATGCGGATTTCTACCCAAAAGATAAGATTGTATTAAAGTTATCAAACGACCTGAGAAATAAAATTGTTTGAGTTTAAACGTATGTATAACACGATTATTATTATCTACACAGTGAAAGGATTTTAAAATGTCGAGCTGAGTGAAAATTGTAGGGGTGCTAGAACCATGAACAATTAGAAAATTTTAACATGTACTGTGAATTTACAAACAAAACCAAATTACACGTGTTGATGGAATAGTTAAATTTTTGCGCATTTCAGATTAGAAAATCGTTAATAAACTGATACCGCTTTAATTCACAAAACTTACTTTTTTAAGACCTGTACTATTTTATAAAAAAAAAACTAGACAAGTGACATTGACATGAACGTTTTATTCCTATTGTTGTTCATTGATTTATGAAAACTTGATTTACTCATCTTGTCCAGTTTTTTTTTTTATAAAATAGTAAATAATATCCCCATTTTTTTATTAGTAAGCTCATTCTCTACAAAGAAAAGTTATTTTAGAGAACAAGACCCCAAGAACAATACGAGCTTTAAAAAATTCAAAGTATTGTCGTACAGGAATTTCAAACTTGACTCTTTATTGTGCTTTATACCGTCACATTTATTAATCTACGGTAAGAAGACAACCCACAATTCAGAAACCGTCTGTTGCTCAAATTGTATTGAGTAATTGTCAGGCAAGGCAACCCTGGCAACGTAACAAAACTAAATTTCCTAGTGTGCATGGACTGGTGAACTAGAAAATAATTGCGCCAAAACACTATCAGAAATTTGCTAAAATTTGCAATTATATAGTGGAGAATCAGATAAATTTAAAGTGGTCTGAACTTTTATGTTATGCTAATTAATACAATATGTTTTGAAATTTATTACGGTCTTAACCCAACAGTGACCACAAGTTAAATATCAATAAGTTAATTCACACCTAACCTAGTCAGTATGATACGAAGCATGGTCAACAGTATGGTAACATTTACCAAAAGCGCGCAAACAAGTAAGTATCTTTTTTTAGTTACTATAGAAATCATATTGGTCATAGGTCTTATTAATGGTTTTTCTTCAAATGTAAAAAATCGTACATTAGATGTGGAAGTGAACCGTATGGTTTGGGTTGACATGGAGGTAAGGTACTTTCTAAATCCTAATTAGTCACTCAACTTTTTGAGTTTTAGATGACTGGACTAAACGTAGGAACGGACAAAATAATGGAAGTTGCTTGCATTATAACAGACGAAGACTTAAATATAGTAGCTGAAGGTCCAGATCTTATCATTCATCATCCACAGAATGTATTAGACAACATGAATGAATGGTGCAAAAATCAGCATGGAAAAGTAAGGCAGGTTTATACACATACATAATTGTTAAATTATGAAATTGTAGAGTGGTTTAACAGAAGCGTGTTTGCAATCAAATCTAAGTTTAACACAGGCTGAAGATAAATTACTGGAATTTATATCAGATTACGTGACTGAAAAAGTGAGCCCCTTAGCTGGAAATAGCGTTTATATGGACCGTCTATTCTTGCGAAAATACATGCCCAGGTTACACGAATATTTGCATTATAGAATAATTGATGTGTCAACAGTGAAAGAATTATGTAGAAGGTGGAATCTTGATGTATATAGATCTGCTCCAAAGAAAGGAATGTCGCACAGGGCTTTGTCTGACATCAAAGAAAGTATAAATGAGTTGAAACACTATAAAAATAATTTTTTCAAACAATCATGAAGTGAACTTAAAGTAGGCTTATAAGTTTAATAGTTGTAATCTCAGCGAAAAAATTGAAAGCGGCGTTAATAAAAAATAAATGTAATTAAAGGATTAAGTCACCAACCAAAGTTGCAATGTAATGTTATTCCACTTTGGTCTTTATATACCTTACTTAATTAAAGTCTGTGTACATAGGCATCACAGTATACATGCGTTCATTAGCCTGTTTATATAAATGCAATAAAACATCACATTATATAAATAATTTAATTTTATTTATAGATTGAGGCTATACATTGTTTGAGTCTGCTTAAACTTTTCAATTTTTCTAAGGATTTTGTCATGTCATTATGTACCCAAGATTTGTACTGATAACTGTCTTAGACTTAGAATAGTATAATACAACTTAATTTTAAAGAGTGCCCAATACTGTGCCACTGTTACTGTAAATTTCCTAATTTTTGAACTCTCTTGGCAAATTCTTTGACTGTATACCGATTTTACGCAACACTGTGACATAACGCGAAAAGCACCCATTCTAGCACTGGTTTGCAGAGTATGTTCAATCCCTCTCATTAAGTCATTGGTTTTTAAGATGAGCAGCATTTGTCTATTTACTTTATCTAAGACTCCAGAGATTTGAGGCAAAATATTGGGAAATTCTCGCTGGAATAAATCTTTTTCACTTTTTGTTGGTTTTTGCCTGAAAACAACATGATCAAATTTAATCCAATAAAAAACTATTAATTACTTATCAATTCCTTTTAAAATAGTATCCCATGTGCGCCCTGTTACCATACATGCAAAAAGTCCATACAGGTCCCCTTTAATTCCTAAATTGGCGCTGTGTTGCCTCATTGCCTTCCGGTCTCGATTTAAAATACTCAACCAGAAGTTTGCATATTCAACTCGAAATTCATCACTTAAATTCTTAGAACATAATGTAATTGACTGTGAAATGGTGTTATTTAATATACTCACTGCATATAATCCATGGTCTAGAAGTATTATATCACAATCGCCCCTTTCAGATTTTCTTACAAAAATATTTCCTGGATGGGGGTCACTATGTACAAAGCCATTAATAAATATCATTTGAGAATAAAGCTTTCCTAATTTGTCAGAAATCTCAAATGGGTTAATATCATGCTCTTTAATGTAATTTAAATCATTAACTTGACCACCAAAGATGAAATCCATAGTTAAAACTCTTGAAGTTGTCAAGTCCCACCTTACTTTAGGCACATGCAGCCACTCAACGTGTTGAAACATTTTGGCAATTTTTTCCGCATTGTGCCCCTCTTGTTCAAAATCCAGTTCCTGAGGAATATTCTTTTTAGTTTCATCAACTAGCCACTGAAATTTAAATTCTGGGAAGACCCAACTCATTATTTTCACTAGATATTCCATAGTTTTCATGTCAATTTTAGCGTTTCCTTGTACATAAGGGTGTTGGACTTTTACCGCTACTACTGATCCATCGTGAAGGGTTGCTTTGTGTACTTGAGCTAAGGAAGCAGTTCCCAGGGGTTCTAGTTCAATAGTTTTAAAAATTTGTGAGGGCTGAAAAAATGAATAAGAACCTTTGGAAAATCAGTAGGTCACATACCTCTTTTTTCAGATCTTCCCTAATAACTTTATACACATCTTCAATGGGGTTTGTTGGTGCATGACAATGTAGTATTTTCATTGTCTGGACATACTCAGATGGTAGTAAATAATCTAAGGCAGCAATATGCTGCCCAACTTTAATATATACGCCTTTATTCGTGCAACACAGCTGTAGTAATTTTTCAGCACTTCTTTTATGACATACTGACTTCAGTGATTTATATTCATCCGAACTTTTCTCTAGACCTTTTCCATACAAATCTCTTTTATAAATAACACCAATCTGAAATACTGTTACCGCTGCTCGACTTAGTCTTACAATCCCAATTGAATTTAGCTGATATTGATTTCCATGAAGACTAGCAAGAGTTCCAATCGTGGCACCTCCAATCACTGTATACTTTAGAAGACGTCCAAGACGTACGGCCGACATAATTATTATAGAAAATATTTCACAGTTCTACACGTTGACTACTTTTAAAAAAGATTTATCAATTAAAATTCGAGTTGCTTCGCAGGTACCGTTAATCACATCTAGGTGCATTATTTCCACCGTGAAAGCGCGATGCGGAAATTTTGGTTTGGTTTTTAGAAAATAATTAGAAATAACGCTTTCTTTCTGCGTTTGGATACTGACCCACTTTAAGTTTTCGTTGTCACATGTGCTCATCCTGTGCACTCTCGTGTCAATGTTATTTTTGTAGGTTACGATTGTTGAAAGGTCAAGATCATAGTTGTCAAGGTACGATATGCCCCGAATAATGGGTTGCATACCCACTATAGGTACAGAGTGTGTAAATAATAGTCATCCTATATTTGCAATGTATTTAGATATGATTTAGATCGATGGATTTATGAATAAGGACACAAGCTTCGCTCATTTTAGTATTCATGAAAATCAGTGGACAAAGTTTAGAATTCCTACACAATAAATGCGAAATGCCCATTTTAGCAAATCTGCTGTTAAGAACAGCTCCAAATTCCAAAGATTTATTGTGCTTCTGACAGAGCTTTGGTGATGGAGTTTTGTTCTAGCTGTGGTTTCCTGATTTAAAAGTTAAATTTCCCTCCGAGAAAAATAAACGCCACGAAACCGTATTTAAAAGGTAAAAATCGTTCCAAGAACGTTGGCAATAATTCGTGTATTCACATTCGTAGCGGAATGTAACCTTCAGTTTTGTTTTGTAGGGTTTGGAATGTTGTACAGGTAGAATTTGAGACAGGAGACACCCTTCTCGTTTTGTGGCGTTTCTGAAAACACTTGTTAAAAGGAGGGTATTTATAGTTTTAAATTTTGTTTGGAACTTTACGAAAAGGCAATTCTTAAAAAAATAAATAAATAAACCGCACTGTGATAATTCAAACATCCCGTCTTAAATTGATATGTGAAAAAAAGTTAAAAAACGCGCGAAAATTTCAAAAATTCAAAAATTTGGCCTTAGTTGTGATCGTCAAAAAAAATGGAACCCTACATTGTGTGTAACGTTTCAATTTTGGCGAATAAGATAAACGTTCCATTTGATTTGTTTCGTTTCATTCCTTATTTTGAGAAACGAAGGGGAAAGAGAGAGGGGTTGCTTTAACGACATCGTTGCACTGCCAAGCCAATGCACTGGTACTCCCACCCCGCGTGAAAGAAGATTCGGAAGTATCGACTTTGTAGGGAGAGAGAGAGGTTTTCCTGAAGCATTTTGGTGAAGATCCTGGAAGAAGGAAATGCCAGGACGTAGACGAAGAGGTAGTACGACGGAGAGTGAAAAAGTAGGGAAGGCTGAGAGGTTTTTCGGAGAGAGAAGAGGTTTTCGGGCAGCGTTTTGGTGGAGATCCTGAAGGAAGGAAGTGCAAGGACGAGGAGGCAGTACTCATGAGAGTGGTTTTTCTCGTTTCATTCGAGGCAAGAGGTTTCGTTGAGCCGTTTTGGTATCATCAACCGCAGAAATGGGGAATTTCAACGTTGGTTTTTTATCACCGCACCCAAGTGAAGAGTTCCTGGAAGAACCAAGCTTATCGTTGATGCCGTCGCAGTGAGTAACTTTTCGTCGTCTCTTTCGTTCCCTTGAAGAGCCGACGACAATTGCTTATTTCGCTGTTGCTCTTGCGGAGCCGCCGCTGACCTTGAAGTTTTTCTTCGGATCCAGAGATCGGTGACGCCGCTGTTCCTTTATCAATTCCAATCCAGCCGGAGAGGAGCTGCTGACAACTACGGTTACGAGCTGAGTCCACTCTAGCGCCCCACAATTCTACTTTTCCATTTAGTCGCCCGGTTACAGCTATCTTTATCAAAATTGTTGGAAGTTTTTTTATTTTTAATTATCATATCGCAAGATAGTTTTGTCCGAGGACGCATGAATACATATCAGTTTCTGCTGTATTTTTTTAGGCGTAACTATGTTTCAGTGACAGTCCCTTCTGGACGCTAATGGTAATTGTTTTTTATTTTTTTCTCGAATTACTAGATGAATTTAATTTAATCGACCCACATCAATTACCTATCCATTGAATATATTTTCATTTTTTTTTCTTCTGTGTTTTCTTTTGGCTTGATTCTTCTCGACTGTTTACTCGACGTAGCGGAATAAACTACCCTAACAGGAAGCTACGTGGCGCCCAATACAAAAAAAAAAAAAAAAAATAATAATAATAAGAACTCTCCGAACCGCGACCCGTCCCAGCTAAAGAGCTGCCGTTCGCTGTAAAACCCTCCAAAATAGGGTTATATGTGTTTGCTTTTTTTGTGGCGGAATGCGTTCAAATACAAAGTGTTGGACCCCAAGGTTGGAAAAGTACCGCTAAATAAAACACAAAATATATGGAGGACACAAAATCATTTATTTTTCCACTGACAAAACAAAGAAAAAAAAAGCTGCGACTAAGTTCCGCGGGTTAAAGACCTCTTAGTTCTCAGCTACAAAAAGAAACTTGTCTAACTTTGAATGAAATCAAATTGAACGTTCTGAATCAATGTAAATATCTGGATATCACAAATTTAATAAAAACAAAGAAAAAATCGGAAGTAAGTACCTGGATGCAAATACACAAGTTATTACGGACGTGTGGCGGCAAACTTAAAATTATTTCAGTCAACAAGAGAACAAAACTTTAATATAAAAAAAAACTCTATGCAGTGACAGCGGCACCAGAGCACCTCCTTTTGAATCCTTATGACTCCAAAAGTTGAGGGGACACCCGGGTCGTTTTAAGAGTGTGGCGATCGAACTATATCAATTTCATTTTAGAGCACAGCAAAATTACCGATAGGGGGCGTTGTAGCACGAACGGAGTTTGGGGCTCCTGGTTGTGGGTGTTCTCCCACCACGTACCACGACGGTGATTCTACTCTATCGGCAAGCACATGCCGCCCAGCGCCCCTTTATCTAACGAAGAAACGTACGTCGGTCGAAATTTGCATATTTCCGTTTGGAGAAACCCACAAGAATTATAATATATGGCTACGCTTGTTGGGAAAAGAGTGGCGTCGTCTCGCAATCGGTTACGGTTTTATTTTCGTTAAACAAAGGCACTCCTTTTTTTCTAACTACCAAACCAACTAAACATAACCTAGCTACCTTACCGCGTGCTTTCGCTCACACACAACAAACAACAGTGACGCGTCACCACCCTCTAGCAAACAAGTGAACTTTACAACCAACCTTCTCACTAGATACTACCCACATATTCCCCTAGAAAAGCTACCAACTACCAGAAAAAGAACTAAACTTGCACATGGTTGCCTATGTTTAACGATTTTCTTAATTAAATTTTTTCTCAAATTCAAATTATTCAAATGCGATTTCGGGCCATTGTTTTTGTTTTTTTTTCAGCGCGAAATTTTAATTAAAATTTGGTCACCACAGCATAGTTCCTCCTCGACAAGTGTAGTCAGTATAAGAGAAATTAATTAACGTTTTCCTAACCTGAAATGCTGTGAAACTTTGACGAGCCCGTCCGCACGTGAACTTTTGTTTGACTGTAAAATGTTCGTAAAACACATCGTGGAAATTCACTTATTTATTCAGGCTTAACTTATAACTATGTATTAGTAGCGATAGCTAAAATCTGGATGCTTTTCCTAATTTATTATACAGGGGTTCTATAAATGATTATACGGTCGAAGTAGGTCATGAAAACGTGCCGCCTCTCAGTTTAAAATTTTACTAAATGTCCAAGTACGCACGACAAATACCACACGTATGGGTATAACTGGTTGCCTAAATGCTCCATTTCTGATTAAAAAATAAAACTAGTTCGTTGTAATAAAAAGAAACAAATTTATTGCTGTTAAACATGACGGTAAATTTTGAAATTTTTTAATTTCAAAAACGTTCTATAATCCTTTTGATAATACCCATTGCTCAATTTCATGTTGCAACAGGAACTCCTGACAGTTGAAGAAATCTTGTCAAAGATGTTTGGAGATTCTGCCCAAGTCGTCTCAAATCTTCAACAACTTCATCAGATACTGAAAATCTTCCAAGAGATTTTCCTTTGTCGCACTACCAGTTTGAACATATCTGTTGATTATATCTCTAATGTGAGCTTCTAACGATGTTTCTTGAATTATTAAAATTACGGTATTTGATCAGATATTATTCTTGCTTATAAGCGGTTACAGAATATACAAACTCTTCGTTTACCAATGTCTCATTGTGATAACAAGACATAAGAATGAAAGTGTCTTGTTCAACAGAATAAACCATTGCTTCCTAGCACAAAAACGACTGTTATGTTGTTTTGAGCTTGGATCAACGATAATTATTGTAATTTACACGTGCAAAACGTTAAAACTATAACCCCTAGAAATACATAGTACCGTCACCGTGGAGCAAACCTGGCGGAAACTTAACAAAGACAAAAATTATTAACACCATTTGACAGAGCGAAATTGAAAATGGTTTTATGTTGGATTTAAAATTTGTAGTTTACATACAAAATATGGATTTTTAATTTGAATAAAATATAAAATTTAATCAATAACATCTTATTTAATAGTTATTAGTTATATTAATTGACATTTAATTGACTTTAAACAAAAAGACCACGCCAAGACCACGTGACAACAACGGTTTACGCCAAAGTCATTTAATAGATTCTCTATTAACTAACCTTGGGTTTACGCGCTGTCAACTCTCTGCTGACACAATTTGGTTCCAAACCAGGGGAATTTTTTACGTTACCAACTGCATTTGCTCCACTCGTACAACAATGGATGACGGTACTATGTATTTCTAGGGGCTATAGTTAAAACAATAAAAACGATGACGTTAAATTAAGGGTTACAAATGACATTAATGATAAGTGAGAACTGTAATTTCAGCGAAGCGGTATTTTTGAAATCCGTGACCAATTTCGCCCGTAGAATCATTTTAAAAACCCTGTATTATCCATTATTTATAGTTTCTTGCTCGAAAGAATAAACTGGTTCTTTAGCTATATTGGAGAGACAGAATTCTGAAAAATATCATCGGTTAAACTAATATGATCATGGACTCGAAACAGAAAGGGGTATTTTATGTTTATTTTGTGTTATTATTTAGATGTTTACTTTACAATCTGAATTTGAACATTTATTCTTAAAACACACCTCTTCAGAGCGAACTGTTTAACGAGACGATCTTATTTTGATTCTGACTATTCAGTATGTGTACGTTGTGTTTATTTTACATTTATTTGTTTTATGTTAACTTAATTTTGATTTGGTCAACGACTTAAATTAAT